AATATCTCCTCCGCGACTACACACGCAGTTTCCCCTATTATTTACATCTTGTATTAGTGTGGTACACGTTACAATTAATGAACCAATATCAACACAGTATTATTAAATAAAGTCCATAGTTTAATTAGGGGTCATTCTTTAAATGTATAATGACACGTCCATCATTATCATATCATACTTGTTAGCTGTATTAATCTTTTCCAAAAACAAAGTTTGGCTTCACTGGTCTTTTCTATGAAATGTTTGTTTTCTACTTCATTAATTTGTGCTTTATTATTTCCTTTTATCTACTTATTTTAGAGTTATTGTACTTGTTCTAACTTCTCAAGTGGGAAAAACACAAGCACTTTATTATTTCACTCAACCTAGTTTTTTTCAGCTTCCTCTAGACAGTGTCTTGGGCCAGTTCTCCATTCAACTTGCCTCATATGTCCTATTCTTCCTTCAGTCTCCTAGGCCTGCTTTTTTGATTCAATTTTGCTTCTCTATCTCCTCTTCTCTCTACGCCCAGTCACCTGATAAATCCTGCTGATTAGATCTTAAATTCATTAGGGAGAGGAATATCTCCATTTTTCTACAGCAAATAAATTCCAAGTCCTCTCAACTCACAGCTAGAAACAAAGATCTCTTTAATTTCATTTTCTAAAATACTATTTTCATCACAACTCTCACACTTCAGAAGTCTTCCTTTGATAGCCTTCGAGGTCTTCTATAATCTGATACATTCTCTCTACAGTAGTCTCCACAGTAGCATTTTCCCTCTCAGTAGTCTCTAGGCAAATGTTCCACTCAAATCAAGCACAAAACACAAATTAGCCTTTACCCACTTTATCCATGTTATTTCCCCCTACTTGATGGTTTCTCTGCCTTCTCCTTAAACCACCCAACTCATCCACTGTGAAAAATCTCCTCAGTTGAAATCTTCCACAGTCATGCCAGGCTATCACTTGACTTGCAGCAAAAACTCATTTTTGTATGTATAAAATATTAACATAAAGTAATATAAGGCACTATAGAAATACCTTTTTCTCAACATCTATTTTATCTTGCTAAATAGATTGGCAGCTTCTTAGATGCATGAACTATGCTTTATACTTTTTTGGGATCTCTAAGAACACAGCAAATGGCTCATCACATTGTAGATAGCTGATACTTACTGAAATGCAAAAAGTATTTACCAAATATAACAACATACCTTGCCTGCTAGGCGGCTGGAGATGATTCCATTACTAGATATAAGACAGTCAGCCAAAGTAGTTTTTCCTGTTAAAATAACAATATTAATTCAAATCTATTTTTTTTTTCCAAAAGAGGGAGATGGATTGTATCTACAGATTTAACATCTGACCGTAAGAATTGGTTTAGCAAAGAATCCCTATTTATCTATACTGAGGAAAGCAAGACATAATAAGCATTTTAAGGAGTTTAATAATTAGACTTTTAAATAGAGTAGCATCCGGAAGGACACAGATTCCGGCACTCTACAGTGCCATAATCTGTTAACTCCAACCCTGTGGACTTCATCGACCTCATCTGATAAGTTGTTCAAGCAACTTTTTTTTAAGCACAGAGCTTTTTTTAAAATTGAGGCATAATTTACAGAGTAAAATGTACAGACTCTTAAGTGATGAGACAAACCACTGTGCCAATCAAAATACAGAACATTGGACAACTTGTACAGTTACTAAAATCTGTCCTACAAGAATTTGATCAAGTTTATTGTAATTATTATATCAATCTTCCAATATCTATAACAGTGACCATGCCTATAAACTTAAAGATAGCTCAGAACAACAAAAGGATAACACAGCAATCATTTTTGTCTCGGAATGGTATACTGGGTAAAACATCACCAAGAAACAACAGAACATAATCTTCTGCCATATTTCCCCGTATGGCCTTAGCTGGCATTTGCCAGTCAAACTGTCTTAAGAAAAATATTTCTTTAGCAAAGAAATTCAGGAGATTTACCAGTATCTCCTACTGTTTGTAAGCCTGTGGAGGGCATCAGCTACACTGTAGCTACCGATGCTACCTAGTATCCAAACAAAGACCTAGGAATCTACTTTATAACAAAAGAAACTCTTCGTATATTCAAGTACACACTTATGGCTACCTTTATTAACTCTACACAATTTCAAGTAGTACAAACAGGTAACTTTGTTTAAAGAACGCTGCCCGTATATATAATTACTGCAGCTGGGCTGGAGTAACAAAAGGAGGGTTTTTTCTTCAAAACAAACAAGTCTCTACTGCACCTGAGGAATTTAGCAAAGCTATGGAATCTGTGTGAAATAGAGACCAATCAACAGGAGCACTGAAGACCTTTAATACTGTGTTACCTGTCTGCCATGTAAATATTATGTGTTAGCATATAATCCTAGAACATCACCTTCCTGCTATCCAATGGAGTAGGATTCATTCCAAGCATGGCGAGCACATATCCCCTACAATGTAGTGCCAAGAAAGCAGCGACTTGGCTTTATTCGTGGCTATATCCCTGGGACCAGAACGATGCTTGGCATATAAGAAACATTCAATGAATATTTCTTGAATGAACAAATGAATTACAGGTTTCCTAGGACGGTACTATTTTAACATAATTTTAAAGAGTAAATTTAAAAGTAATTTGTTATATACACACATGCCACTCACTTGCCACATGATTTAACTCACAAAGCAAAAAAATACTTTTGTCAAACCTCACGTCCTCAAAATGTGAGCAGTGTAATTATAAAAACTCATGGCGGCAGGGTTAGTCACTGGATCTGTATATAAAACTCATTCTCAGTCGGCTTCACCTATAAAGTGATCCATTACTTCCCCTTTCAGTTGCCATACTACTTCACTTCAGCTATTCTGTCAATGGCAATAGCGACCTGACCTCTTTTCTGCCTTTCAATTCATCCTAAACACTTCCACCAGACTAATCTTTATAATGTACTACTTGATTACAACACCCCTGCTTTATTTTGTTCTCCCAATGGCTCCCCAGTACCTAATAATAAACGTTAATGATCATCATCATGATAAAGCATGTACCTGCCAAGGGCTTCTTATTACATTTAATCCTCACAACCCTATGAGGTAGGTGCAGTTTTCATCCCCGTTTACAGATATGCTATACTGAAGCTCAAAAAGCAAAGTAACTTGAAATGGAGTTCTGAACTCAGGATGTCTAACTGCAGAGCTGGAGCACTTAACCCTTATCCCAGTGCCTCACTGGCATCAAGGGCTCCATGCAATACGGCCCAGCCTGCCTCTTCACTTTCATCTATTATTTCCTCACCTTCAGGATAGTAAGTAGGTTTTATTTCACATACCCATTCCCGTCACTTTGCTGTGGCTACCTGAACTAAGAAGTTTGAAACTAAGAGCAGTCTTAGCAGGAAGCAATGTTTTGGTGTAACAGCAACGCCAGTCAGAAGCATACACACCACGCCTTAGCTATCCCTGCCCTTCCACGTCCTGGGCTTCAGTCACATACACTTCCTTTTCCCCTTGCTGACACTATTCCCACTTGGAATGTGTGTCTCCATCTGCCATCCTGAATCCCCCTTCAAGGGTCATCTCTAATACTAACTATGTTGTGAAGCCCTTTTCTTAACCCATTCCTAGCTTCCCAAACCTCTAGTTCTCCCAACCCTGATAGTCTACTTTTTGCCTGTCTCATTTTGCACTGCCTCAACCCCCAAATTGCCCCTAGACCTGGGCTGGTGCCCTATTCATAAACCTCTACCTTCTGACATACCTAGCAAAATACCTTGAACCTAGTAGACGTTCAATAAATATCTGAGGAGTTAAAAAGAATCACAAAACACAGGTTCTGAGGATATTATGTCAAGACCGTAAACTTTTTATATTACTAAGCCATTTCAAAACTTCTTCACGTTTCAACAAAAACTCAACTTCGCATTTAAAAAACAATGCAATAAACTATATAGAAGAATGCTAATCACTAGTTAGTTGTGTTCATTTCAAATGCTGTACAGCATGCTTCTCTAACATCATTTTAGAGGAAATAAGACTTGCTTCTTCGCAAGTATCACTCTCGACTGCCCACAGCGTCACTCCACTGACACACGTGGAGACACAATCCCTTAATTATGGAAAATAAGCCATTTAAAAAGGATTCTTACCATGGTCAACATGAGCCAAAACACAGATATTCCTGATGTTGGCAGTGTTTTTCTGGAGTTGAATCATCTTATCCAAACTATTGAGCACCATGGTCACTTATTTCCTGCGACTAAAAATTAAATATGTATTACAAATGGCACATGGGCCAAAGGTCACAGCATAAATTTTTTTTTGTTAATGCAGGGAGCTGACCAGACTTCTCAAGTCCCTTAAACTAAGAACCCAATGACATAGATTACTGACGGACTATACCCACCCAGGCCGAAGTCCAACCTGAGCACGTAAGCAAACGCCGTATCACGACCCGACTCGCGGAGCTCGCTCTTCCTGCCGGCTGGGCCGCGGTGAATCACGCAGCCCGTGGGTGGGGGCTGGGAGCACAGGGGCAGCAGTGGCCGCCTCCGGTCAGCGACCACGCGGAGGAAGGGCCGCACGCAGGAGCGGAGAGGACGCCGATCTCTCCCTCCCCCGCTCGGCGTCCCTCCAGGCCCCCCGTCCTATCGTCCTCGCTCGCCTTCACCGGAAGTGAGACACCGGCTCCACCACTGCTTATGAGCCCCAAGAAAGTTCCGGGCCACGTGCCGACTAACCACGCAGCTGCACTCAGCGTCTTCCTTCCATCCTTCGGGAACGAGGAGAACGCTGACTCCACGTTCCCTTCGTCTCCGTGGGGCCCCGCATTCGCTCTCCTCGAGGACCCCGGGTCCACAGAGAGGAGCGGCCGCCCGCCCCGCCGCCGCTACCCGGTCCCCACCGCGGCCCGAGGAGGACGCCGGACCCCGCGCGCACCCACCGGCTCCGGCCGTCCCACAGCTCCGCCCGGACCCCCGCGCCGGCCACACCACCCACGTCGGCGGCGCCAACAGCGCCGCTGGTCCCCAACGCCCACGCCGGGGGAGGAGCCGGCCGGCGCACGACCTTTGACCCGCGTGCGTCTCCGGCGCCGCCGGAAGCGGCGCCGCGCCGGTCGCCCGGAAGCCGCAGTTGCCTTGACGACGGCGGGCGCGGAGGAGCCGCGGAGCAGAGCCGGCGGCAGGGGGCATGAGGACCTGGTGTCTGTGTCAGATCTGCACCTGCGGGTAGGATGCGGCCCGTGCGGCGGGGGCCGGGCCTGGGGCCCGGGCTGGGGTCGGGAACGGGTGCCGCCCTCGGGGACGGAGGGCGCGGGCGCGGCGACGTCCCTGCCGCTCCGGGTCACTAGTGCTCGCCTCGCACCCGCCAGCCAGCGGGGTTAACCATTTCTGCCTTGTAGACGCCCTAAGCAGAGTGCAGACGGAACTCCACCGGCCAGGCGGGTAATGTGTGTGTAGCCCGGCCGGGTGTAAGGCTGGTCCGACTGGGAGAGTGCGTGCATCGCAAAATTAAATTAAAAAAAGAAAAAGGAAAAGGGACAGAACAGCGTGCAAGTCCATGAGTTTTCAACCCGTGTTACGCCTTCTTCCTTCAGCTTTCCGTCCAAGCCTGACCGCATTCCTATTCCCATCCAGGCAGCGCTCCTTTGGGATCTGACTGCATGAAGAGGGAGTAGTCTCCACCCTGAAACCCTGAATTGATCTGTGAGCCCTGCCTAACAACCTTCCAACCCCTGTAAACACAGTCTTCTCCTTGCTCAGCTTCGCCGTTGACCCAGAGATCAGATCACTATTTGCTAAAGAAATATTATGAATGCGTTAATCCTTTCATATTGTAATCCTCTCCAAAGGAAAAACACTTGCATGTTGATGGAAAGCAGTTTTCCCCCAGTTGCATGATAAACGTGGTTTATAATTAATAATTAGATGTAGACTAAAAGATAATTTAACATTTCAAGTATGAATCCAAAAACTCTGATGTGCAACAAAATTGATTAGTTTTTTTCTAATCTTTAAATTAATTTATATCCAATCCAAGTTCTTTTCCCATCCAGCTGTCAGGATATTCAGTCTTCTTTAATGTTGGAGGCTCCCTTTTCTTCAAGCAATAGAATAGGGAGCTGAGGCATTGCCAATGCGAGAGGAGTCCCCTCTGGGCTGTGAACACTGGTAATACTTCCCACTGAAACGTCTCTTGCTGAAGTTCACATAACCTCTTCAAGAGTGGGGCCTCCCCCGCCCCTCCCCCCCCCCTCGATTTCAGGTTAATGTTTGAGGTACAAGAATCTTTGGCAAAGCTGGAACTGCTATTGGGTTCCACTTAGCCAACTCGTGAAATCTGGCCACTGCCTGGGATGCTGATACAGAGTGAGGCAAAGATCCCCCAGTCTTCTAAGAATTCCTTCCTGCTCATCTTTTACCTCCTTCTTCTCTCTGGGGGAATCTTTTCCTCTTTTTCAGTCCAAGACCATCTCTTTCCTCTTGGGACCCTAAAAGACAACTATCTTTCATCTCCAGAGGAACACCTAATTTCATCTCTTCTATGAATTGTTTTTTAAAAAGACGAAAATGTGTTGACTTCAGGCATCTTCTATTTTCTGCCCTGCCAAAACCCCTGAAACAAGGAAATACAAAGGCCCTGACTACCTCTTGAAATGAAGGAGAGGGAAAAACAAGGAGGACAAACTGATTAATATTTTGATACATTGCCTCTCTCTCTAGGAGGATCAGGATTGTGGAGAGACCTCTTCAGGGAAATTTTGACCTGCTTTTGCTACATTTTCCTTCTTGCTGTTTGAATCTTTTTTTCATACTATGTAACTCTTTTTAAATATCTGTTTCTTTCACTATATCAGTCAAAGCAACTATCCATCTCATAACATAACATATTTTTCTCTGCAGTATGTATTTACAATTGTAATGTGAGTTAAACTGTGATAGAGTTGTTTTATATTGGAAAACAAAGTTGGGGGATGCTAGGAAAACTTGAGACTTGGTAACAACCAACTTTCTTTGCAAACCTGGTCTGAATGGTTGAGTGAGATTTGGGGGAGGGAGGAGAACAAGGATGATGTTTAAAAGAATAGGAAATCATTTGACTTGTCTTTGCCTCAAGTTCCTGATGGCAGATAAAAAGAGCATATTTCTTCATTCCTTTCCTAGGATCTACTGAAATAAAATTATAGAAACTAAGGTAGAAATAAACTCATGTTACTAAAGAGAATGGGCAGAGAATTAACAGATGAAATTTCAACAAATTTTTGGAATATAGGAAGATGAAGGGACACTGACAGATCAATCAAAACAGATATATTGAAGTAAATATTCTGAAGTAGCCGTGGGAACCTGTCTGCCAAACAGGGCCTGAGGCAGCCTCGGCTCTAAGTACACAGGTTGAGTTGAGGATGGAAGGGTAGGGTGTCGGCAGAAAGAAGAATTTGAGGTCTAAATCCAAAACACCTGTATTGCTTGGTCTTCCCATCTCCTTGTCTGCCCCCACCAAATAAAGCACAGGCAGATGACACTCATCCCTAAGGGCAGGGGGAACAATGCTTCTTTACAAAATTAAATTGCTTGTCTGGGAAAAGTTAGGAGTCCAGCTGTGGAAAGCTGCCTTGAAGAAAGGGGACTCAGTAGAACAGATGGTACAATAGAGAGAGTGAAAATCTTCAGTGCATGTGAAATGCAAAGAATATAAGAGGAATTAAAGGTACTAGAAACTTCAGGAAAATTAAAAGCTATACAATAAAATTATGGTTCGAAATGAAGTAAAGTAAAATTTAGAATGACTTTTAAGTATTAATAATTGATAGCATGAAAGAAAAGATAGCTTACTTAATCTTGAGGCTAGGAACCTGTTACTGTGAGTGCTCTTCAGGACATGGTGTTGAACCCATGGGGTAGAAAAGATACTCCCTGCACTCACTGAGTGGCCTGCACTGGACAGTATATCATAGTCCCTGCCATGTAAACCTAGTACACTAAGTTCACAGCTTTGCAAAAAAACCTGGGTACAAAGCATGGCAGCTTGGTTGTGTTGAAGGACAAAATCTAATCTACTTAAAATTCGTAATATAAAATAAAAAAGTATACCTGGCAGAAAGTCAGATGTGAAAGGGAGGTGAAAAATTGGAGAAAAATAATTAGGAGCTAACACTTTTCTCTGTCGTTTTACGAAGTGTGAAAGTCAAAGAAAAGTATTTAGGAGCTAATATCCTCATCTCGCAAAGTGGGATGTCCAGAAATGCTGTCTAAAGTTGATGGAATAAAAAAAGAGGGTTAAGTGTATTATTTAAAGATACAAATGTAATCAATGTATATGTAACGAAAGATCCTTTTCATTCAGATCTTTGCTCAAATGTAATGAAAGATCCTCTCATTCAGATCTTTGCTCAAATGTCATAGTCTAAAATTGCAACCTTCCTGCCCCACCCCACACCCTCTATCCCACTTACTCGCTTCATTTTACTCCATTGCGCTTAACCGTTATGTGATATACTGTGTATTTTTCTGATTTGTTTGTTCATTGGGTCTCCCTTCCCCCACTACTAGGATATTAGCTCAAGGAGGGAAGGGAATTTTTTGTCCTTTCTTTCTTATTACTAAGGGTCTCCCCAATACCTTTGCATAGTTGTTGCTCATTAAATATTTGTTGAATGAATGAATAAATGAATGAATGACCGTACAACAGTAGGAAGTCAGTGGAGTGGTATAAATTAAATCTTTATCTTTTATGTTAGAATTTGAAAGTTAGTCACTTAAGCTGATAAATCAAGATGTTTAGAGCTCATAAACAAGTGTTATAGATGTAGCCTCCAGAAAAACTAGAAAGCAGAGCTAGAGAGAAGTTGCTTCTAGGGATTAGAAATGTTGCAACAGGGGACTTTTGCTTTCTTTTATAAGCTCTTCAGCACTGTTCAGTTTGTCACAATGTGAATGTATTTCTTTGATGGAAAATAAAACAAACACAATGAGAGATTCCAAAGCTTTGACTTGATTCTTGTAGCTCAGTGCAGCTGCATTAGAACCTCAGTACATGACCTGTGTAGCCGAGACCACATATGGTACTAAATCACTTCAGCCCTTTCCCAAAGCCTCCCTTTTCAGCTGATATTCCTGAATCTCTCAACTCCCCTGACTGAATTTTCTTGGATAGCCTATGACACCACCTCTTCCCTCTTCCCTGCGCTGCAGTTCTTCGTGCTGTCCAGCAGCCTCCAAGCACAGCAGCTGATTTCCCTTATGTTCTTCCTGGGGGTTCATTGAGTCCAGATATCTTAGTTGGTTCTGATTCACCTACAGAGCGTATGCATTTTCTTCAGCTCCAGCTTTACCTGGGCTTGTATTATCAGCCTTTACCACATAGCCTGGGGTCCCCAGATGATACCAGACCTGAGAAACTGACCTTATATTTCAGAATTGTGGGATTTTACTTTTTTTGGTTTGTTTTGTTAAGAGCTTTATCTTTGTTTTCTGATTATAAAATAAATATACATGAAGCATAGTATAAAAATTCAAGTAAAAAAATCTATAATATAGTGAAAATCCCTCATAATCCTATTCCCCACAGATAACAAATGTTCTTTAAGACTTGTTTTACATCCACAATCTTTAAAAAGAGAGAGAGAGACCATACTACACATACTATTCTACAACCCATGTTTTCACTGTTTATAATCTCTCCATCTTCCAGTGGCCATACATAAAGATCAACCTCATTCTCTTTAATATTTGTATGCTACTGGCTTATATGATGTGTTGGTCAGGGTTCTTAGTTATGGACAATATAATCTACTCTGGCTAGTTTAGGCATAAAGGAGTTTATTAAGGAGTATATATAGCTCACAGAATTGTTGGAAAAAACAAAGAAACAGTTTCAAAATAAGCTTTCTGGAAAAATTCCCAAAAATTTCAGCACAGAACCGGGGCTGCCAAGGAAGCCAGCACCTCTGCCACAGTCAGGAAACTGCTGCAGAGCCCTAGGCTTCAGAAGCGCGCATGGCTGCCAAGGGCAGGAAGCTGCCAAGTCAGGGAGCCACCCTGTAAACCGGGGCGCTGCCTAGCAGCTGCTGGCTCCAGACGCTGCGACTCGCCCACAGTCCCTGCAAGCAGAATGGCTGTGTCCTGCCTCTCTCCCCAGGTGGCGCTCTCTGAGTCAGAGTCCTGTGAGTACATCCAGTAGATGAACCTGCCTGCAGGAGCCTGGGAGATTTGCTTCTTAGCTTTCCATGTTCTGTAGTATAAGAGGACACAGTGAATTATTGTCAGAGCAAAACCAGAGTTTCTACCACATGAGGATACACCATGATTTATTCATTGTCTTTGTAAACACCACTGCAGAGTAAACAGAAGTTTTGTTGTTTTTGTTTTTTAGTTAAGCTGCTCTTAAATTTAGAGATTCTGAATTTATTGAAGGTCTTTGATTAAAATGCAAGTATCACTCAAAATGCTTTTGGAGGTGAAAAGAATCTTTCTGTTTATTTATGTTTCACAGGCGACATCATTGTCCACATGGAACCACAAGGATTTATGAAAATTCTGGCGTGTCTTGCCCCACAACTGAATATTTGGAAAAATATCCTGTGTATGGCAATATTCTTCCGCCTCAAAGTCTTAAACCCAAGCAAGAATTTCGAGCATGCCGTGGTAAAATGGAAGGAATAACAACATTTAAGTAAATATTGAGAAACTCTTGCTTTACTTATTTTTCTCCCAACTCTTCTGGTCTTAATAAAGTTTTTGTTTTTTTTTTAACTCTTTAAATTGAACTATTTAGTTGATATAAGCTGAACCAGTCCAAGAAGCAAGAAACTAATTGAGTCACAAATTGAGAGAAATAGAAAGATGAGAATTGAGTTCGAATGACAAAAAGTGAAAAGGAATAAGGGAAATTAAAAGTTCTGATTTTTTTACCTCCTAAAATCTTTTGTATTTATCTGCTTTTCCACTGTCACCACTACTTAGAGGAATGCAGTGGCTTCCTAATTGTTATATCTTTATCTACTCTAGTTTTTGCATCTCTGATCAGTTTTCTATACTTTTGACTTTGCTGAGATAATCTTTTTAAAATGTAGATCTAATGCTATTGCCTTCCTGCTTAAAATATTCTTATACTTTCACATTGTGTTTAATAGACACCAAAATCCCTTCATGGTTTGGTCCCTCTGTGCTTCTCTAATTTATTTTCACTGCAGTGCCTTTTGCACTCTTTTATGCTTACGTCTCGTAGGACATTTTTCATTTCTTGAAAGTACCGGGTTTCCCTTGCCACAGAGCCTTCCAAGATACTATTTTGCCTGCCTAGAATTTTCCCTTCCTCTTACGCTAGTTAATGCCCTTTCAACCTGTAGATCTCGACTCAATTATGACTCTGAAAAGCCTTCTCTGACCCATCACCCAGTTTTCAGGCCAGGTAAAGTCCCCTGTGTAAGCTCTTAAAGCATTGTCCTATTATTTATCATTAGATGAGTCTCAGTGTTCCACGACAGAAGGAACTATGTCTGTTCTTATCTCGGCCTTCTACTTCCAGTAGAAGGAACCTGGTATGCTGCCTATGAGCACATAGCAGAAACTCAATATTTGTTCAGTGAGTGATAGACAAAAAGTTCTCCTAAGCCTAAACTCTTCATTTGGACTTAGCTTTTTTGATCTCTTTGTATCTTTGTCAATTCAATGGGTTAATTCTTTTCTGTATTCTGTTAGTGTGCACACTGTTCAAGGCACAATCTTAGGCGTTACGTATAAAAAGATCAGTAAATAGAAGTTCCTGCTTTCAAGGAACTCATACATCATACTTCTATAATTTGGGGTTTTAAAAATGCTCTGTAACAACTTATTTAGTGTTACCCATTTTCGTTTCATTTCAGATAGAGCTCGTTCTACCTACATAGCAAAGGTGGAGACCTTCAAACTTTTAGTCCGCTACTTCTACCTTTAACACTTCAGGCAACTCTGGCAGTAATAGTCCTTTGGTGATTCCAGTTACTTCTGTAGGTGTGTGACTCTTCCACAAATTTGAAGACTTTCCATATTCCTCAGACTTTGGTGTGCTTTAGAATCATCTAGAAGGGTTAAAATTGCAGACTCAAGAGCTCCACCTAAATTAGTCAGTAGATAATGGAATGGATCCCAGGAATCTGCATTTTTAACCAGCATTGCTGGTGATTCTGTTGCCATATACTCAATACAATAGGTCAGATACTGGACAGTTCACTGGGTATGACATGGAACATAAAGAAGGGTTTTGCGCTGCTGCTGTTTATAGTCTTGTGGGGATGGTAATCCAAGGACAAATATGAGGTAAATAAACAAGGTAATTATCGACTGTAGTAAAAGAGATGAAGAACTTGAACAACTGGCTGAGATAGAGCAAATGGGAATAGTTGCTCTTTTTACTTCACTTTAACTCCTTTCTTCCTTCATACCTTAATGATTCATAAGGAGAGTTGAAATAAATTTCACAGTATTTGTATTTATTGAATAAAGATTTTGTGTTTAACCAGTTCTAAGTGTTAAAATTAAGAAAGTGTAACCTGCCATATTTTTCTTTAAAAATGCAGTTGCTTTCCAATTCTGGGTTTTCTCAGTTGACTTGCTCAAGTAGCCTTTAATAGTTTAAAAAAAAAAAAAAAAAGGGAAAGGAATATCCCAACTCCCAAAAGCTCCAAATATGCCAATAAAACTAAAATTTCCATTTCTTAAATCATCATCTCTCCACTTAATAAAATGCTGGATCTTCTCTTTGTGTTTTGACTGGGGAGCAACAGTGTTTCCTAGAGCCGTTTCCTAGGGATTTGGAGCCCCTGCTTGACTCCCTCGTGTTGACTGTGTTGACCAGGCAGCAGAAAGCTGGTTTATCTGTACAAACAAGGAATAAGGTGTCATTCTGTACTTTTCTATAATATAGGAAGAGACTGTGTAAAGAGCACATGTCTGGACTTGTACAAGACTTGATCCTTTATAGCATTCCAGTCACAATACAGTTAGACAACTGCCAGATTTGGTAGAAGTCTGCCCGGAAAGTATGATTCTGGACATGTCAAATGTTTTGGGATATATCAGATGAGTAAGAGTGCATTTACTCTTTACTACTTCTCCATAGAAAGTTGCTTTGGGTTTGGAGGTATACTTTCCAACACTTAACTAATCTAACTAGAGAAACTAAGACTTCTGAGCTTTCTCTCTGTCTTCCCTGATTCCTCCACTCCCTGATTGCATTTTAGCCTGTTCCTCTCTAGCTGGTATTTGGGAAGAGCAAAGAACAACTCAGATGTCTTGAGAAGCAGAGGTATGTAATTTCCACTCCTATTCATCCACTAAATAATATTTATTAAGTATTTGTTAAGTATCAGGCAGTCTGCTAGGCACCTGGTATAGAGTAGTGAGCAAAAACAATCTTGATCTCTATGCTCACAGACGTTGCAGTCTAGTGAAGGTGGCAATCAAAAACATCTCTTGGGGGGGCTGGCCCAGTGGTGCATTGGTTAAGTTTGTGCACTCCGCTTCCACGGCCTGGAGTTTGTGGGTTCAGATCCCGGGTGCAGACCTACACACTGTTTACTGGGCCACACTGTGGCAGCATCCCACATACAAAGTGGAGGAGGATTGGCACAGATGTTGGCTCAGGGCCAGTCTTCCTCAAACAAAAAGGGGAAGATTGGCAGTGGATGTTAGCACAGGGCCAATCTTCCTCATCCAAAAAAAAAAAAAATCACTCAAAATAAGTATAAAGTTATAATAGTGATAAAATCTATGAAGGATAGGCACAAGGTAACTTGAGAGCCAGAATAAGAGGTGTGACTTTATCAGGGAAATGAGAAGAATGAGCCAAAACGTGAAGGATGTGAAGCAATTAACTGGATTGAGTGGGTGAGGTAGTGCACTCCAGGCAAAGAGAGCAGCATGTAGCAGGAAGGAGCCTGGAAAGAGGGCGATTCTTAAAGTCAGCTGGAGGAGAGGAAGCACAGCGTAAATTAAGGTGACTGAAGGAGGCCGTGCAGGGCCTTTGGGCCAGGTTCAGTTTTTTCCTGTATCCTTAGAGCAGTAAGAAGCCACTGAAGATTTCTTGCTTGTTTTGTTTGTTTTTTGAGGGGTGTGTAAAGGAGAAGCTAAAGAGATGAGGACAAGAATGACCTGATCAAATTTACATGTGAAAGGATTACTTTGGGTCCAGTGTGAGAAAAGGACTAGAGAAAAGGAGAGAGGACTAGAGTGGATACAGATATATGAGTTTAGTAAACTATTGAACTGATTTGAATGAGCTTATTATGAAAGCTTAGAATATTATGGTGTGATGAGATGGAGAAAAGCAGTTAGATTTGAGAGAGACTTAGGAGGCAAAATTGACAACAGTTGATGATGAACTAGTTACAGGAGGAGGTGAGGTATGAAAGGTGAGTCCTAGGTTTCTGACTGTGCAGCCAAAGAGATGGTGATGCCAATCACTAAAATAGGGAACAAGCAAAAAGGACTGGATAGTTCAGGGAAAATACTGAATTTGAATAGAGGCATATTAAGTTTTAAAGTGCCGTTGAATATCCGAGAGGCCATTGTAAATACTGGTATGGAGCTCAGAGAAGAGGTCTGAGCTGAGATATAAATTTGAGAGACATTTCTATATAGGTAGTAATTGAAGCTATGGGGGTAGAGAAGTTGTCCTCAGGAGTGAACACTGGATGAGAAGAGGAGAGTGTGTGGGCTCAAGTGTTGAGGAACTCCAACATTTAATGGCTGAGTAAAGGAGGATGAAGCTGCATAGGAGACTGAGAAGAAATAATCAGGAAGGCAGGAAGAGAGAATTTGCTAGAAATAATGTTGAGAGGTCAAGCAGGATGAGGACTAAAAATGCCTGATGGATTAATCACATAGAAGTCAGAGTGAACCTTCGAGCTGTGTTAGAGAAGTGACAGCGCTAGACTCGAGGTTGAACAGGTGGGTTGAAGTGAATTGATGGGGTGAGGAAATGGAGTCAACGAGTCTAAGAAGTTATGTTGTGAATAGCAGAAGGGATGCAGTGAGTTATTTTGTTTTTTTGGAGCTTGTGGACATATATGGAAGCTATTAATACAAGATATTTTAAACAAATCATTGAATGAGTAAGAGTCAACCGAGTCCAGAAGAAAAAAAGCAGGTTAACTAAGTTGTCCAAGGTCATGCATCTAGTGAATGACAGAGTCGGGATTTGGACCCAGGCAGTCTGATCAGTCTGAGTCTGTGGTCTTCTCCACCCCACCAGACAACCTCAGTGTCTGCAGGGTGACCTCTGCCACCTATTATGTAATACCCAGCAGGGCTGGATTGCCATGTGGCTCCCATCTATGGCAAGGGCTTCTGGGGGTTCCAAAGATGAGTAAGACTCACATCCATACTATGAATGTGCTTTGTGTCTAGAGGCCAGAGTTTAGATGTAAATTATATACTTAATTGATTATTTAATGATGAGCAGGAAGACAGCATGACTTAAGTAAGAAAAAAGCATGCCCAAATAGTTTACTAGAGTCTTTAAGTAGGATGAATAAGGATTTTGACAAAGTGAACCCAGGGAATTTAAAATTTCTTTCAGATTCATTAAATCTTTTACCTGAGATTTCCTTTCGGGTTAGAAAAGAATTTAATTACTTGAAGATTTTATTTATGTAAGATCCAGTTAACAGGGGATCTATTGTAATGATGTTTTGAAAACTAAGATTTTTGACATACTTATTTTTCTTAAGATATTTAGTCACTGGATGGGACATAAAGGAATTCAGTTATTTCTTTCAAGTAGTTTATCAACTATCACCATTTTAATATCATCTTAGACTTTTCAAGTGGAAAAAAAACCTTGAAAATTTCAATACTGCATTGAAATAGTTAGAAATAAAAGAACTTGTGAGGCTATGTTTCAAATTTATGTATTTCAGGTCGGATTATCGTCCTTATGATATAGCCAAACAGCCTCACCGTGTACCAGAAGAATGGAAACCAAAACAGGGGGACATTGATCTTGGCACTACCTACAAACGTGATTTTAATTCTTATAAAGTGCAGCCTGTGGCAATAGTCCGGCCTTTGGAGAAACAACAAGTTAAAAAAGGAAAGTTGGACACTGTCCCAACCTATAAAGGTAACTTGCCATTTCAGAAATGAAGGAGCCAAAAAACTAAAACTCACTTCCAGCTTTGACATCTAATATAAAAACGCAATTATGATGTGTTGCCAAACCTAGCCTTCATGGCTTAGGAAAAAACATTTTTCTCTTTGGTCCAAATAGTATTGTATAGTGAAAAAAAGACCATTTGCCTGATTGAGAGTTAAGAGACCTGGATTTCTATCCAAATTCAGCCACTTAATTTCTCAAACATCTCAAAACATATAAAATATCTCAAATTTTCTCAAATCTCATTCTCAAATATCTCAAAACATATAAAAACACAGGATGCCATTGAACAAGCACTATGCCATATTTGTCACATTATGCCACATTTAGTTGGTACTGTTCTTTTCCTTCCATCCCAGAATGAGTTGAAACTCTACCAAGCATACAGGAGTCTTTGAGAAGGTCAAATAAATAGCAACTCTCTTCACCATTCAAGTTCTGAACCAGCTGCTACAACACAAGAGTTAGCAGATGGAGAATCAAAATATTCCCTTTATAATGATAAAGGCTAAGGTGGAGAATAAATGTTACGTCTGTAAGCAGATGGTTCCTGATACTGAACCTCAGAATAAAATAGGCTTATCCACCCAGCAGCAGGCAGTGTTGGACCACCACATAGGGAATCAGCTCCTCTAAGACTTCCAGCGTGGAGGAATTGTGAGAATACCTTCTTCCTGCTGGCAGCTGACTAAGAAGAGTGAGGGGCTGGACAATGTATGACCAGGTTCTTTTTAAAACTCAATATGATTTTAAATTATTCTGCTGCTTTTGAGGAATGGGGTCTTTATTTTTTAAAAATGGGCTCTCTTATTAGTACATATTATTTCTATGTTATTTTTTGTTGAAAATGCAATTACATATTTCGGCTTATAGCCTTTTCATTAGTTATGTGATATAGCTGAATGAGTATGTCCTAATATCAAAACCCTTTTGTAAGAGTGATGCCATCCACAATAACAGTAATGATTTATACTTTAAATAGGTCATAGCTGAATGCATACTTTTTCTTTAAATATCACCCTTACCAGTTCAATGAGTGAGTAAAGTGCATGGTGTCAATATACTGTGTTCTATCAGCCTGCCCAGTAGGAGGTCAGGAACAGTGTTCTTTCTGTTTTTAAAGGTAGGAGCACATAAGGTGCTACACAAGGAACACATTTTTAAGACAATATGTATGCTGAACAAGTATATTGTTATAATCCAATATAGCATATAGTAATTGCTAAGATATATGTTTTTGGTATGTAGAGAAGATAATGTGTTGCATAATAATTTGACATAAAAGATAATTGATGAAAATGACTGTACTGGGTCTTTTAAACAATCATAGTAAGATTTTCTTATCTTTTTTTCCTATAAGATCTATTAAAAAATATCAATAATATTGATATTCCCTGATGCTGTGACCATTTACATGTAACACACACACATACACACCAACACTAGTTCTGGCTTGTCATTACCTGGATTTGCTGTAGATTCCCATACTTCCACTCCCATCATCCAGTGTTAAAGATTCCTGGGTTCCCTGTAGGCTTCTCACTCCTGATCTTTCCCAGCAAGGAAAGGTTATCCTTATATTTCCAGGTTTTCGGGCATGAGACAACAAACACTAAGGGCCAAGGCAGTTCATCATTCTGTGTGTTGATTGTGCTGCAGGTTCTGTAGATACCTACGTAAGGACAGGTCTGTAACTAAAGAGACATCACAATGGGAAGAGACTCTCTCGCTATTCACTGAGAATTAGAGGACAGAGGAAAGGCAGAAATGGGATATGATAAAGAAAAAAATCCTGCCAGATGGTAAGAAGGGTGACATCTAGATTCTGGAGATATGGTTCTATGAAACTGGTGACTCTTAGAACTATATCTGCCCCCACAGCCTCAGTTTAGAAATTCATTCATATTAAAATGTAGATGCTGAAAATAGGTCTGTATTTGATTTGATAAATATGTTTTTGGGAGTACTCTGCTCTGTGCTAGGCACTGTAGGGAATAATGAGATCTGAATTGAGCATGATTGTTGACATTTAGAAACTTTACAGTTGAGTTGAGGAAAAAAGAACAATAATAGCATGAAAAATTAAATAGCCATACTAGAAATAAATAATATATCACAAGTGGGGGAAATAATTTACCAGAAAACTAATGGAACAATTAGTGCTTCAAAAATTAGACTGAGCAACATCACTTCAGGCTAACCTAGGAATGAGTCAGAGACTAGTAAATATTGTTATATAGAAAGAAGAGGGACATACCAAAAGCTAGGATGAAATGAGCAAAAAAGCATAGAGCAAGAAAAATAAAAAGGTTGTGTAGTGAACATGGTGGAAACCAGAGGATTTCAGGATCTGAGAGATTGGGATATAATTCTATAAATGTAGGTTGAGATCAGATTGTGAAGCTTTGATTGCCAGACTGAGGCGCTTAACCTTTTTCTTGTAGCCATTAAAAATTTTTGAGTTCTTCTGCCAAGTAGGATATAGCAGACAGCAGAAAGTCATTACTCCCACTGCAACTACTAAAAAATTATATAAATTTTTAAAACATCTTCTTTTTAATGGCATCGGATGGCTGTAGAAGCAAAGAACTAAAATTGCACAGATGGACGAGCCCTTCTTAGGTGAGCTGAGATGGCCAACTGTTTACTTCCCTGGGAGCATTTGTCAAGTCTAGGCCTGGGCTGAAGACTGGTCTTCAGAGGACATAGCAGAGGGACTCTAGCAGGGGGAAGGGAAACCAGTGGAGTACCTGACCTGGACTGGCACGACAAATTGGAATCTATAAGTCCCAGAGGCATGGCCAATTTTCTTTGAGGGATGTTTGATGAGTGTTTAGGGGCATGGTGGGTTAGGAGACTGGACCAGAGAGATCCCACAGGCATATCCTACAGTCTCACTTGGGAGTAGGTGCTTAGGAGACAAAGTCCCACTAGAATGAGGGCTCTGCCACAAACACACTACAGTTCTTGTCCTTGAGACAGTTATAACTAGAGGAAGACTATGTCTAACTAAAGGTGCCACTGAGCGCCAACCCAGCTCAATTTATGATTGGATTGAGGTGATCTGCCCCATGTCCTATTTGCCTAACACAGGAAAGAGCAAACTGTCTCCTTTTGAAAATAACAGTGATTTTAGTTTCTGTGGTTTTCTTACACATGACATCCAGCATATGTAAAACATTATGAGACCTATGAAGAATCAGGAAATATTTGAAGAAATGTTGGTCAAGAAATTTCCTAAATTGATGAAGGAATCAGGCCACAGATTGAAGAAGCTCAACAAACCACAAAATAGATAAAAACACAAAGAAAACTACACCTAGGCAATTGTTGTCCAACTTCTGAAAACCAAGTAAAGACAAATTCTTCGAAGTAGTAAGAGAAAGCTACACGTTATTTACAAAAAGAAAAATTAGAAATAAACCTAACTTTTCATCAGAAAATATGGGAACCAGAAGATAATGGAATAACATCTTTAAAGTGCTGAAAGGAAAAAAAAATCTCAAATTTTAAACTCAATGAATCCTAGAATTTTATATCTAGTGAAAATATCCTTCAAAAAATAAGGCAAAATAAAGATGTTTTCAGAAAAAAATAACAGAATATGTTGGTAGCAGATCCATACTACAAACAGTACTAAAGAAAGTTCTTCAGGTTGAAGGAAAATGATTCTAGAGAGAAGCATGCAATGCAGGAAGGAAGGAAGCACACAGAAAGGGTAAATATAAAAGAATATTGACGTCTTAAAGTCACAATAATAATTGTGTATTTTTGTACAACTATAGAAGTAAAATATAACAATAGCACAAAAGGCAGAAGGGTATAAATGGGATTAAACTGTTGAAAGTTTCTTCTATTGTTCTAGAAGTGATAAAAACATCCACTTAAATTTGAATAGGCCAAAAAGATCCCCTAATAAGTCAAAAATGCATTTTTATTTTAAAAATACAAAAAGTTACAGTTAAAATGCTAATAGACAAAATGGAATAATAAAAATGCCCTTTATTAATCCAAAAGAAGGCAGGAAATAAGGGATAAGGGAACAAAGACCGTATGGGACCAACCAAAAGCAAATAGCAATATAGTCAAACTCAACTAGATCACTCATTACACTAAATGTAAATGAAATAAATATTGCAATTAAAACTCAAAGATTGATTATTCATACATTAAAAAAGTAAGAAGATATTATGAATATTTATGCCAATAATTGTTATAAAATGGACAAACTCCTTGAAAAATGCAATTTGCCAAACTAACTCAAGAAGAAAAAAATCAGAATAGCCTTATATCTGTTAAAGAAATTGAATATGTAGAATCTAAGGTGTAGTTTAAAACTCTACCATAAGGAAAACTCCAGGATTTCCAGTTTCAGAGTAGGATGTAGATGACTTGAAAGAGTGTTCCCAACCTAACAAGAAATCTACAAAATCACAAATTTTTGTGAGTCCTTTGGAAAGCTGAGATCATAAGGGAAATGAAAAGATGAAACAACAGCAAACCTCTAACCAGAAGGAGGAACGGGAAATTGCCCTGGGCTCAATAGAGATCTACTACATCATGAGAAGGGACAGAAACACAGAGAGAGCCCCATCTCTGAGACCCAGGGACACAGGGCTTGTGTAAGACTGAGGTTAGGCCAGGACAACAGAGAAACTATCCCCCTTATGTGCGCGCACACACACACACACTGACACTCTCACACCAGATTACTGAGCACTGAATAACAAGCAACAGCAATCTACAATTGGAGAGAAGCAAGATTAGAGAGAGAGACATTCTTTGAGGTGCAGGTGCAAAGAAAAGGCCTAAAGCTGAGGATGGAGCAGAAATTGGGAAAACCAGCCCCCGACCTATACAGAAGATAATGCCAAAGGAATTTAAAGCAAATGGTGCACTGAAGGTAAACAACAACAACAAAAAGAACCAAACCTAGCTCAACTACCGATTGAACTGACTTGGCCCCA